TCTATATAAACGAAGTTATTAGAACTATAAGATAGTAAGATCTCTTTTAATAGAACTGCGTAGTAGCTATATAATTATGAGATCTAGATACGTAGTTAATAGAATAGATAAATTAGTTACTAGATAAACTAATAACTAAAAAAAGAAGAAGAGGAAAGGGAACTCGCAAGTATTTAAGACTTTATTAAGTATATTAAATACTCGCCCTAGCTGCGTAGCTTGCAACCTGATAAGCGACGCAAGCGAGCCTATTAATTCGCTCCGAGTACTTTCACTCTTATAAGAATAAGTATTATTAGTAGAAATAATAATATATAAAGAAAACTATTAAATAATAATAGATTTACTATTCGCTACTTTAGTATTAATAGTAAATATTATTAATTATAATATCGAAAATAATTTCGAAAGCGAATCTAATTATCTTCTAATTTTTATAAAGTTTAAGCTAGTTATAATAGAGTTAATATTAATAATATATTAAAACTTTAATAAACTAAACGTCGAGATTTTAAGAGAGATACTCGCTAGAGTTATAGTATCGAAAGAGTATCTAATTAATTTCTTAGAGAATAATAGAAATCTTATTAATAATAATATTAATTATTAAGTAATAATTATTATTAACTCTATCTAAGTAATTATAAAGAAGTTTACTTCGATTATTAAATTATCGCTATAATTTAGATTAAAATTTACGCTAGAATATAAGAAAGTATAAAGATATTATAAATCGCTAAAAAGAAGTTAAAGAATAACGCTTTTAAAGAAAGTATAAGATAAGTATAAAGTCGTTAAGAACTTTAAAAATAATCTAATTAAGAGAACTATTAGAAAGGCGTTTAGAGAGTTTATAGTAGAGATATATAAGTTACTATAAATAATATAAAAAAAAATTAAAAAAATTAAAAAATAACTTATAATATAGATATATCTCTCTTCGCTATTTAATAAAGATAAATAAGAATATAATAAATTAAGTTTAAAGATAGATCTTTTTATAAAAACGTTCTTCTTATTATTAATATAAATAAAATTAAATAATATTAGTATTAATATAACGTATTTATAAATTTATCTAATAAATATAATTATTATAAATAAGATAAGAAAGATTATAATATAAGTATCGTTAAAGAGAGTCTTAAAGAGAGATATAATCTTTAATCTAATTCTTAAAAAGATTCTAAAATTATTACTTTCTTATCTATATAGAATATTTAATATATATATAATAAACGGCTACTATCTAGAGTACTTTAGAATATTAATAATAATTATTCTTTTAAAATCGAGTAAGAATTATTTAATTTTTAAAGAATATTAATTAATAGCTTTACTTAATACTATAAAAAAGATAATAAAATTTATTCTTATTAGAAGAATAATATATTTTATAAAGATATATAAACTTCTACTAGCTATATATATAAGAGATTATAGATTATAATTATATAAATACGATATTTACTATCTTCTAGAAAGAATATATTAAATCTAAAACTCTAATAAAGTAGTTACGATATTACTATTAGACGTTTTAAATATATATAATAAAGTCTCTTATCCTCGATTACTTTATAATCTTCGAAAGTAAAAAATTAATATAAGAGTAATTAATTAAATAGAATTATTCTTATTTAATAGAATAATAGTATTAAAAATAAGCGAATACTCTATACTAAAGACTTCTATAGTAATTAAAATTCCTTAAGAATTACCACTATCGCTTATACTTTATCTCTTCTATAATTTAGATCTTATTAATAAATATAATAATTACGTCGATTTAGAAATAATAATTATTAACTTTATAGATAATATAGATCTTCTAATAGTAGAAGACTTTATTAAGAAAAATTATAACGCTCTCTATAAAATTTATAATAAAGTTTATATAAAGTAAGTATTATAATATAAATCGAAGTTTAATTCTAGTAAATATTAATTATTATATCTTAGTAGAAAATAGAGATTTAGTTTAAATTATCTTCTATAACTTAATAAGAGATAATATATTAAGATAAAACGCTTTATCTATTATCTAGAAGTCGAAATCGACTTTAAACTTCTATAAAGTTATTATAATAAGAAGATTCGATCTAAGATTATTAAAAGTATCGATATATTAATAAGAATTATTAAATCGACGTAAGGCGGTAATTATAAGAGTATAAGATAGCTTTATTAAACGATATCGAGTAATTATTTTATAAATAACATATTACTACTTAGTATAATATTAGCTTAAAGATACTATTAACTATAATAAAACTTATCTCTTATTATTATAAAGAATTTAATCTTAGATAGAGAGAAAGATAACTAAAGTATTTAAGATTATATTTATTTTAATACTTAATATAGAAGTATATCTTCTATTAGTTATATAATAGTTAGATAAGATTATCTTAAAAGCTATCTTATAAATCGCTATTAATTTAATATATAGCGAGATTATTAAATTATAATTTAAGTAATAAAAGTTTAAAAGAAAATTTAAGAAGAATAGAAAACTAAGTTTATTAAAGCGATATATTAATAGATTTAAAAAATAATATAGCGATATTAATAAGATTAAGAAATTATATCTTTTTAGCGTCGCTCTTAATTAAGAGTCTTTTAAAATAATAATTTATAAGATTAAGAAAGTCGCTAAAGAACTAGCTAAAAGATCGATTAATAAAGATTATATAATAATATATATAGATAATAATAAGATTAATAAAAAGATAAGAGTTTTAGCTATATTATTAGATATTAATTCTACTTTTAATATCTATTTAGATTTAAATAATTAATATATAATATATTTAATAAAGTTATATAATATTCTTTAAGCTTTAATTATAATAATTATATATTAAATAAAATTATAACTTAATAGAGTTATAGTAAATATAAATAATTAAATATTAATTTAAATTATCGAAGATTTAAATAAGTATTTAAGATAGATCTATATAATATAAATAGTATAGATTATTAATTCGCTAAGATATCTCGAGATAGTAATAAAATTATATTAGATCTCGATATATATTAATATTAATAATAATAAATAGACGAATAGAGAGACGAAGAAGATTATTAACTAGCGAGAATAAGTAATTTATAATAAAAGAGTAGAGATAAATATTAATAAAATAGTCTAATTATTAATTATATAAATAAGAATAATATTAATAATTAAGATAGCTATTAGAGATTACGCGATAGAATAATAGACTATTAAATAGACTAATAAGAAGTAAAATAGTATTCTTAGAAGAATTTAATTAATATTATCGAAATAAATATAACTTTTATATTCGAGAGTTAAGTACGTTAAAACGTCGCTAATAACGTAAATAAGAATTAAGAAAATAGATCTTAAGACCTTTCTTTATAATCGATAAATATCGAATATAGAGAATAAAGAATACGAGTATAAAGCGAAGTAGATAACTCGATATATTTTTTATAAATATAAGCTATTTAGTAAGAAGCGAGAAATATAATAAGTCGAAGAAAGAAGAAAGATAAAAGAGGAAGTTATTACTTATAAGAATATGTTAATAAAATTATATTACGCCTTTATAGTAATAGATTTTATAAGAAGTATTAGACTTATTAAATAATATTAAATTCTTAATAAAGATTAATAATAAGGATTTACTAGAGTAGATAATTAAAAAGAAGAATATAATTAAGATAGAAAGGCCTTAGCGATATAGAATATACTTCTTTTTAAGAATCAAATATTTAAGACGTAGAACTATGACGGTAATTTGTATAGTCTTATTTATTCAAGACTATATAATTGATTGAAAGGATTAGAAAGATTACGTAACTCGCATAATCGGCCCCTAAGGGAAAAATTCAGGAAAAAAAAATAAAAAAAAAAAAAAAAAAAAAAAAAAAAAAAAAAAAAAAAAAAAAAAAAAAAAAAAAAAAATTTTTTTTTTTAAAGCGAGTGCTGTTGTTGTGGCGTTGAAGCAGGTCGATGATCATCGTAGAGTACAGAGCTTCAGCTCCAGGCTAATCACTCACCACAGGAGTATCCAGAACCGCTTTCCTTACCCCCGGGGCACTTCCCTCGATCCGGCCTAGATAGTAGTGCCTTCTTTGCTTCCCATGTCCTTCTTCCCCTCCGCAGCTTCCGAACATCACAGAAACAACCTCACGACAATAATCAATACATCACCAGGACAATCGCGATATCAAACATGGTCTACACTATCGTAGTCCACCTCTACGCCAAGAACTCCGCCGAGTCCATCTCGAAGTTGCACGACAAGCTCGTCGAAGCTAGCAATGTGTACAGCAAGGACCAGGAGACAATTTCTTGGTTTGTGATGCAGGATAATCAAGACAAGAGGGCCTTTACCATTGTAGAACGCTACGAGCATGAGAGCGTACGTCGGTCTTTTCTCCTTCTGCGGATGCTTTCAGCTGCCCTCAAAATGGGCAGGCGTAGAAATGTACTGATGAGTTGCCGGATATAGAGCCAGAAATATCATCTCGACGTACGTTGAAGCTTTACCCTCGCGGTCAATGACGCAGCTTGTTAGCAAGGGCCGTTCTTATTCTAATCCAATGACGCAGAATCCATACTGGAAGACGTTCAATCCGTATGTCGAGCCATTACTTGAAAAGCCGATGGATTTGAGGCGCTTCAATGAGTTGTAGGAGAAGGAGGCAAATGTCTTTGAGTCATGGCAACTCTTCCCAGAAAGGAAAGGCGGACAAATTCACTCTACGAGTAGCATTCGGACCGGTTGTACAGGCGCATCAAAGGCTCGCGCTTGTCCCAAGAAAACATGATGCTCGGACCCTTGTGGAGACTTTCCTGTTGCGAATGATGCGTCGCCTGGCTAAAAGCCTTGCTTCAGGCGCAGAGCCGCATTGTCAGTCATGAATGAAATTATCGATTAATGGGTCACATTTGCATCTGAGCGAACATACTGTTTTACCGTTGCGCTATCAAACCGTTGCTGATCATAATACTGACATGAGACATGTGCTTATTTGCCTCTCTGCTTTTGGTTGCTGGAGCTGCTAAGGCGCTGGTGCCATTCTCTCCGCTGGACATTCAACCAAGCCATCCGCAGCCTTCTGGGGGAAACAACTATCTTAATGAAACTTCGGATACGGCAGCCTCGTCCGCCTGGCTTGACGAAGCATCATCCGAAATGACTGCCTCGTCTCTATCCATGACGAACTCTACGCTCGTGTTGAACAGTGTATTGGCAGAACCCAAATTCATGTGCCTAGATCGCTTTGGCTCCAACTTGAATCCACGAAGCTGCCAATCTGCAGCCTTTGCCATCGGGGACCTGTCGACAAGTCTTTTTACCTGGGGACCTCGCGGTACTGCAGTCACATACGACTTTCCCATGCCTCAGCGGTGGGTTAGCTGTATGTGATCATCGAGACCTTTGGCTATAAAGGTTTCTTGCTGAAATACACTTTGCAGCGGACGGCACCTGCATCATCGCAGCGCTTATTGGGCCACGCTCCACTTTCGCCCTCGCCACTTTGCAAGATATGGCAATGGGAGCCAACACGGTGATTCAGCAATGCGTTGAGCAGAAGAGTCCAAACGAGGGTGGGATTGTGAAGGAGCTTGGTGAGTGCGCCACTTCCATTTCTCCGGCAAAGGACTAATCGAGCCTCAGGGGATGGCAGGCTGGGTGTCATCGTTGCCAAACAAACACCCAACGTTCGTTGTTACGGCAGTGCTGCCGTCATGGGCATAGTCAACTCTTGCCAAAGTATCATGGATAAGATGGATGTCAGCAAAGAAGTGAGGACTTTCGGGACGGGAGGCGTAGGCGTCAATGTGAAGTTGCCTTATACTTGGTATTCCGGTGAGCAAAGCTGCTCCGAAGACTCGACATTACCATATAGCTAATGTGAGGTCTGCAGTGGATAACAAGTGCATCATGACTCTTCGGACCTCTGGCCCATCGGATAGTGAGTCGTGGCATAGGGTATGGGAGACAGCGACGTTCGTTACTGCCATGTGCGCGAGACAAGGGAAGAAAGGCTTGCACTCTCAAGTTGGTGAGTTGCCCCTTTGAGACCTTGGGTGAATTTCGAGCATTGACTGATGTCGGCAGGGACGAATAAGAATCTCTTTCTTGAGGTCGCTGCAGAGGGCATGGCCGATGTTGAAACATCATAAAGCTATCTCACAGGAGAAGAACCTGGTGGGGCACAATTGCGACTGCTGGGTCTTGCTACTCTACTTTAGCTTTCTATACCAGGAACGGGCTCATCTGACAGGAGCCAATTTGCACCGCTGGCGCACTGAATGATTATAAGATCATCGAACAGTCCAAGCTGGTCGGGACTAGGGGAGGAGATCCTTAGGGTACGGACGCCGAGGAAGTATTCCGATTAACCCGATCTTCCTTCCGAGCGGCTTAATCCGAGACATAAAACCTCGACCGTCTCCAGGTGAAGGGCTTGACAAGAAAAGAAATCCTCACAGCAAATCTCGAATTCGGTGAGCCGCTTCTGCGCATCAAAGTACTCCGTAATGCGCTCTTAATGACCGCTTCTATGGCTCCAACCGCGCTGAAGTCGCGCAGGCGGTATCGGGTAACGTCAAAATGCATAGCCCATTGGATGTGGTATCACACACTTCGTTCAGTCTATTCGAACCCTTTACAACCGTTCCCTCGACAAGTTTGTACTCCTGAAGCCATGCTTTCGCACTACATAGCATGCCTAAGCGGCTTCATCTCAGCAGCTTCAACGCTGAATGTAGCTCCTCAAGGTTCCATCGCTATCGTTTCAGATACATCGACATCTTCATCGAACCTCTTCGAATTGCTCTCGCCATCGAAACAGTCCATATCCTGGTCGAACAAGTCCTTCACTCCTGCCCATCCACCATCTCTACCAGCCAACTCTTCAGCACTCAGAGCTCCAGGTCTGGACGTCGATAAGCCCATATTTTGGGAGATAACACCTAGCGGTAACGTCATAGGGTTACAGTGCAACGTACGCTACGGCCGTCGATTAGATTTCCGGGACTGCAGAGACGCATACAGCTACATCCAGCGAACGAACGAAAGAGTCTCGCGGATAGCACAGCGAGGCAGTGGATTGCCTCAAGATATGGGACTGCCGCAGAGAGCCTTGGGAAGTACGTCCTCCCTTCTATCACGGTTCTTTCCAATCGCCCACTACTATCGCGGGCAAAGATTACTATCGCTGATCGTAGAGGCAGGCAAAGGCAAATGCCGCATCGATTCAGAGATCATAGCGCCTTACGACACGGCACGTGCAAGCCCGAAGAACATCGCTGAAGCGAGTTATGCGTTGATTGAACGGTGTGCACCGAGGTCCGGGGGTATTGCTATCAATATTGGTCGGTGCAAATGGAGGAGTATACCTACAGAGTGACATCGTACTAAAAGCTGGACTAGGCGGAGACAATCACCTCGCTGTCCTGCTGCAATCATACACATCTACCGTCCGCTGCAAGGACTCCGATGTACCTTGGTCTCGCGAAGCATGTGCAATGATCCAAGGGGGCATGAAGGCCGATGACAAGCAGAGATTGTTCGGTGATAGCTTCCTGGACCCCGCAGTTGAAGAAGATCTGCCCTTAGAACTGGTGTCAAGTGAGGCTACCCATCCCGCAATGCCTATACTCGAAAGTCTGTGCTGACGTTAAGATTGCTAAGGGGACGAGAAGTGTGTGCTTAAGATCTTGAGTAATGCTCCAACGGATACCGAGAGTTGGTATCATCTATGGGAGGTTTCGGTTGCGCTGAATGCGATCTGTGTCAGAGCGGGGAGGAGGGGGACTGCTGATCGTCTTGGTTGGTATACTCTTGCATACCATCTGGGTTTTTGGGCATGTGAAAAGACGGCTAATTGATTCCTCCAGGCATGCATGGGAACCTCGTAATGGAAATCTCAGACCAACCCTTCGACTCGTTGGCAGGAGTTGTCAACGGTACAGCTGTAGGTCGGATCTAGATATACTCGGAGGCATTCGCAACATAATTGGGAAGAACTGCCCTCAAGTTGCACAGTCCAAAATCTGCGTTCGAAGCCAGCTTTGAGCACCCCAAGTTCCCAGTTTCCGCTTTGGGGAATCTGCCCACGATTTCTTATCCTGGCAATACGTCCGCGGAGAGCGCTCTCAATATCGCCCTCCGAGTCACGCATCATGAAAGCTCCTTCATCCCATTCCGGTATTGTCGCCGAATTCTCGGGCATGCTGCGGCGCCCGTTGGATTTTGATTTTGTTGCATATCGAGTTGGGATCATGCTTCCTTTCCGGGCACAATTTACGTCTTTTGCTCAAACCGAGTGTAGCCTACTGCGGTATCCTGGCTGGCGACAAGATCGCCATTCAATCATCGAGGACACCAATTTTTTTTTTTTTTTTTATTTCAGCAGGTCAGTAGGGCCTTGATACTCGCCTCGACTTTGTCCGGGGCGGACTCTTGGCCAACTTTTTTTTCTCGGCGACTTTGTATGGCCGTCGCACCTGTTCGCAGGATTGCGGCGGAACGAGGCTATGCACACCAACAAACAACAGCCTCATTATGTTCGACGCAAATAGGCTATTCCGCACTTCTTAAATGGGACTTCGAAGCAACTTTTTAAACCTTTTTCTCAAGTCTTTTTTTTTTTGCTTTGTTCTGCTCTGCTCTATTCTATCCTATTGCCCATTCACCATGCATTTACACACGTTCCAAAGGCCGGCCCTTCGCGCTTCCATACTCTCGACCCTCCTCCTCATCTCGCCGTGCAAGGCCTACGTCAACTGGCTCTACCCCCCCTCGAGCTCCTCAAACGCCCTCGCTTACAACTACAACGACGTCGTCTATTTCACCTGGGATTCGAACTTCACAAACCCATCCCTAACCCTCTGGTGCGCGACCGACGATAACTACTTTGCACGTGAGTCTGATCCGTCTGTCTTATTCACCAGTCATCCTCGCCCTGCAATTCCCCCCCTTCTCCTTCCTTCACCCGTCACCCCCCTTCGCGGCGTCAACTGACCCCCGAAACCCCAGTCTACACCGCCAACGTCACGACCAACGGCACGGACCCGCAGTCCTTCCCCTACGCCGACGCCTTCAACCACACGTGCCACACCTCCCTCTACTGCCACGGCTCCCCCGCCTGCGGGCCCGTCGGCCAGAGCCCCGAGTTCGCCCTCCTGCACAACAACGCCGCGGCCGCGCAGACGTGGGGGGCTCTCCGCCACGGCGTCCGTCGGCAAGGCTGCTGCCGCTCCGACCGCCACGTCCGCCTCGTCGCCGGTCGCGGCGCAGTCTGCGGGTGCGTCGGTGACGACGTCGGCTGTGAAGGGGACGGCGACGGCGACGACGCGGGCGAGTGGTGGGCTCGGTGCGGGCGCCAAGGCGGGGATCGGTGTCGGGGTTGCGCTGGGTGCTGTGGCGGTTGGGGCGGCGCTGGGGTTTTGCGTGCTGAGGGCGCGGAGGAGGGGGAGGGAGGGGAAGATGGCTTTGGGTGGTTTGGGGGTGCCGGAGATGATGAGCGGGCAGCGGTATACGACCCATCCGGGCTGGGTGGAGCCTTCGCGGCATGAGATGGATGGGGAAGTGAGGATGAATGAGTTGCAAGGGACACCGCAGGCGGAGCTGAGCTCTGTGGCGAGTCCGGTGAGATGAGGGTAAAAGGGAGTCTTGAGTACGGAGGAGGAAGTTGAGAAAGAATCTTTTTGATGCTAATCTTCAACTTATATCTTACTTTTCGCGCCCGCGGACCCCTGCCCCTTTGGCATCTTCCTATCCGTCCCCAACGCGTCCAGATCTTTCTTCTTATGATAATGCGGTGCCGCGTCTGCCAACCACTCTGCCTGTATCGGAAGGTTGCCTCGCATGTACTCCCTCGACGTGAGCACGAGCTCGTAGAAGATGATCCATTTCGGATTCACCTCGAACAGGGTGCTGCTAGGATGGAGGTACGTCGTCATGCTATTCTTCACGGTGCGGTAGCTGTCTCCACCTTTCTGCAAGCGCGCTGCGTTGGGGAAGAACCCGGCCGTGAGAGATTTCTGGACGGGCACGAGATCCTGAGCGCCGACGGAGGTGATGGTGACTTCCACTCTGTCGCAGAGCTTGGCAAGTTGATCTCGAACGTCTCGAGCGCGGGTAAGGCTCCGTTGCTGGAGGAAGTTCTCGCGCGCCCAGACATAGCTGAAGTCGCTATCGACCCATTGGTTCCAGATGTTGAGTAGGGAGAAGTGATCACCACCTTCCTTGATAGTGAAGCGTGCGCGGGCACTGTCGGCCAGTATCTTCTTATCTTTGGGGCGGTAGAAGAGGGACGCGGATTCGCCGAGCATGGCGATGATGGAGAGCACTTCTTCAACGCAACCCTGCTTGTCGGCGGCGAGGATGGAGCGGGCTAGCATGGGGTCTGTTGGGAACTCTGCCATCTGACGCCCAAGCTTGGTCAAGGCACCCTTGTCGTTCAGAGCGCCGAGGGCGTAGAGATTTTCGAGGGCGCGGATGAGAGTTTCAGCAGGTGGAGCATCCATGAAGTCGAACTCCATGAGGTCGTTGATGCCAAGAGACTTCAGCAAAAGCACCACGCTGTTGAGGTTCGTCCGTTGAATCTCAGGCATAGTCGAATCGTCGAGCTCGTTGTGGAAAGCGAACTTGGTATACAGGCGAAAGCATTTCCCGGGAGCAACTCGCCCAGCTCTACCAGATCTTTGGTTTGCGGAAGCCCGTGAGCAGGGAGTGACTACCAGTGATTCCATGCCAGTTCTCGCATTATAGACGTTCTCCTTCACGAAGCCTGGATCTATCACGTAGACAATACCGTCGATTGTGAGACTAGTTTCAGCAATGTTGGTGGCTAGGACGACCTTTCTAGCTTTCGGAGGTGTCGGCTCAAAGATCTTGCTTTGTAGTTCAGAAGGAAGATTAGCGTAGATTGGACATATGATCATCTCAGGTACTTTGGACCCCAGCTTCCTCGCAGTCTCCTGTAGATTTAACTCGGCTGCCTCGATCTCTTCTTGACCCGTCAAGAACACCAGAATGTCTCCTCTTGGCTGTGTGATGTGGATTTGGAAGATGGTAGTGACGGCGGCAGCGAGGTAGTTGGCTTCTGGTTGCGGAGTGTAGTGGATGTCGACGGGGTATCTTCGCCCAGGTATGTTGAAAATCGGGGCGTCGTCGAAGTATTTGGCGAACTTCTGGGCGTCCATGGTCGCCGAAGATATCAGAAGCTTCAGCTCTGGCCTGAATCTTGCAATGTCTTTGACGAGCCCGAAGAGAATATCCGTGTGCAGCGTCCTTTCGTGGGCTTCGTCAATCATTAACGCCGAGTATGCTCCCAGATCTGGCTCAGTCAAGAACTCCCTCAGTAGCATACCATCTGTCATGTATTTCAGAATCGTCTTATCGGACGTGGCGTCCTCAAAGCGTATCGAGTAGCCCACCTCGTTTCCAACCTTGACTCCCATCTCCTCCGCAACACGCGCTGCAACACTCATAGCAGCCACTCGCCTAGGCTGAGTGCATCCAACTTTGAGACCATCTTTTGTGTATCCAGCTTCGTGGAGGTATTGAGGTATCTGAGTCGTCTTTCCGCTGCCTGTTTCTCCGACGATGATGAGGACCTGATATTCTCCGATGGCCTTGAGGAGGTCGTCTCTAAAAGTGTAGATGGGCAGACTCTTTCGTGTGTCTTCGATCGAGAAAGCCTTCGCCTCAGCAGCTTTCAATTGTTCCTGCAGCGCTCTTTGCTCTTTTGTCAGGGGCTTCGCGTCACTGTCCAGCCTGGTGTCCATGACAAAGTTGATCTTCTGGGCATCATCGAATACATAATCATAGTCCCCCTCATCTACCCTTTCGCTTTGAGAGATCTGGGCCTTCGCCTTCGCCGTCTGTTCCTTTTCCCACTCCTCCTGCTCTGTAACATATCTCTCCTGGCCGTGCTCGTCCTTGTCCACATAACGCTTGTAGAGGGCTTCCTCTTTCTTCTTCCTGTCAATCTTGCCTTTCTCCGTGATGTAGTCCTCGGGCATTGTGTATCCGTCCCTGTGGTCATCGATCCGTAGCCTCTCCTCCGCGATACGAAGAACCTCCCTGTTCTTCGCGAATTCATCCTTTTCCCTCCTTGTCAAGTCCGGGTTGCTTCGGAGTTCTGTCGTCTCTTCGGCAATTTGTTTGCGTAGCAAGGCCAGTCTCTCCGTTTCTCGTTTTTTGAGATATTCTTGCCTAGACCTCTCCCTCAGGTCTGGCATTGCCGCCTGTCTCGCTGCTGCATCTTCAGCCAGCGCTCGCCGCTTAGCCACCTCCTTGCCTTCCCTCGTAGATGATCGATCCTCAACAAGCTTCTTCGTCTTCTCAGCGTCCTTGAGATTCAGCCGCCTGGCAAATTCGTCCTTCTCCAGCTGGTCTCTTTCCATTTCCCTCTCCCTTCGTGTCTCCTCGTCAAGTTCCTCCTCTGGCGGTTGAGCAGGAGCTGCGACCCCATCACCAAGGCGGACTCTCTTTGGGGGTGACTCTTCGAACTCCTCTTCTTCCACAAACTCCTCGTCGCCCCAGCGGTCCTCGAAGTCATCGTTGCCTTTTTGCCGCAATTTTCTGGATGCTGGTTTTCTGTCTCGCCGGTCATTGTGACCTTCCCGTCGAGGAGGACTTCGAGAGGGTGTCTGAGAAGCCATGTCCTGAGAGGTGAGAGGGACTTCAAGCATGGCGACCGAAAGGAGTATTTCAGTACAGCATTGAGTCGCAAGATACAAAGTCTACATCCGAGGCAATTCCGAAAAGGCTTGGCATGAAACTGTCCGCAACGAGAGTACTGCCAACACTGCTGATGGATATCGCACAAGTCGGATCTGGCTATAGAGCAAGCCTACCGTGGGGTGGACGGCTGAACTACTGAAAGCATGGTCTGAGTTTTTTACCGACTTCAGAGAGAACATGCGGCTTCATTGCTATGCTAGACCTGCCAGATGTAACCATCATGTATCTAACAACGCCAACAACAGCAGCATATCTCACGATGTTGCGACTGATCTCGCCTTGGATGATGTGTAATCCATGGTCCCTCTTCAACCAGCACGCTTCGCTCCATCCAGAATCTACTCCTTCTTCGCCTCCTCCTCCGCCTCGCCAGTCAACGCGTTCCTCTTTGTCTGGATACGTTCTTGTCTCCTCTCGCGTGCTGCCTTGGTCTTGTCGCGCTTGGCTTGCATTTCCTCCTTCAGGATACGCTCACGTTGCTTCTCGGCCTTAGCCTTGTGGATCTGCAGCGAGATTTGTCAGAGGGTTTTATTGTAGACTTTTAGGGTGTTATGACTCACATGCTCAACCAATGCTCGCTTGTGCTTGAAGGTGTTACCCTTGCTCAGATGGTAGAGCTCGTGGTACAAGTGCTTGTCGATCTTGCCTGAGGCGCGGTATTTGACCAAGAGGCGACGGAGGACTCGGAGACGGCGCATCCAGAGCACTTGACTAGACAGTGAGAGAAGAAAATCAGCCGACCAATTCGCTAGATCCACGACTGAGGTTGCAAATCTTATTGCCCTCCTTTGTAGCTCTTGCACTGCAACAGAAATTTCATACCTAGGCATCCTAGCATCACTCGTACCCTTCCTCTTTCCAAACCCTCTATGTCTCCCAATCCGTCGAGCGGCGGTCAACTCCCTCGCACGCGCACGCGAATGCATAGTGACCTGCTTGCGGATGATGAGACCATCGGACACGAGCTTGCGAATCGTCTGGCGGGAGTTGGCATTGGAGATTTCGTTCATTTCATTGGGATCGAGCCAGATCTTGCGCTTGCCGCAGCCAACGACGGAGGCCGCGAGGCGCTTTTGGGTGCGGAGATTGACCCTGTGAGAGAGAGTGGGTTAGCTGGGGAACAGATTTGCTGATGGAGGGGCATCCGGAGTTTTGCAGGTTCTCAGCACGCTGGGATTCACCAGACGTGACAGATAGCTCATAACCCATTCTGTCTATGTCTCAAGGGTGAAATGTAGCTTACATATTGGATGACTGGGCGTTGTTGTTGATGTGTGATGTTGTACTGATCAGAGTGGTGTCGTCGACTCATCAAAGTGTGGGCTTGTCTAGTGCGAAGCTAAGCGAGGATCTCCATTTCTGCCAAGACTTGCTCTTAGGACCTTTTCAAGGCGAGCTCGCGAGCAGTCCTCTAGGCCACAATCCTCTCTTTTTCTCACAGATGAGTACGCTATCAGTACAACAATTGCGCGGCTCAAGAAACCTGATTAGCGTCTACGTTATCTGGTCGAATCCTTTAAAGCAGCCAGCCCTCATTTGAACCCATGCATACTCCGATCTTTGGTCAATATCATATACTCGTCATATGGTAGTTTTTTAACATTGTACGCATAATTAAGTCGACCTTCATCTTCCCATCAAGCCTAGATGACGATGTTTTCCCCTATATTTGCCTTGCTAGGCGTAGATTACGGGCAGCGCTCAGCCTTTTCTACGGGATCAAAGGTATTTTAGACCAACGTACAGTGATCACTCGAGAGTGACATTCGTCTTAGTCGGAAACACCTTACTGACCCTAAGACCGGTCCGGAAAACGCCATGCCCAGAGCGCTTCGACGGTCTCGCTCCCAACGAAAATGCTGTCCTCAAGGTTCTTGTATTTAGCAGAACCCGTTCTGAAGCTAACCACGAATACTGTGGGTGACATAACCGTTAGCGTGATTCTCCCAGTGTTCAGAAGCTACGCACCAGAGTAAATAGCACCATACGGAACACTCGCATTATCTGTTAGTCCCGTGATAACATCAACCAACTCCGGCGTCGACTTTTGGATTCCCGTGGCCTAGAATTGAAGGTAGGCGCCATCGTCGGTGGAGACTAGGCCGAGGAGACTAGGGCGGGAGTGGAGCCCGAGTGGAGCCCGGATGGATCTATGGTTGGCCAATCGTTTGTGTGCGACATCGTTGCATTGATAGGGGTTTCGAACTGAGGGACTGTTAGAGAGGAGAACTGATTTTGGTACGAGGGCTGCGTAGGGTTGGCATACTCCTGGTTCGGAGACTAATGTGCCCATTGTTATGTGGCCGAGAACGAGGGTGCCACCAGTGGAGAGGTTGCCGGATCCGATTTGTAGCTGGAGAATGTTAAGAGACCGGATGCTTTGCGAGCTGCGTTCGGGATACTACTCACTACATTCTGCACGGTGAGCTGATCGTATGGATGAGGCTCCATTAGCTGACTGGTACTTAAACCCCATGAGAAGGAGGCGCGGTACATACATTCAGAACCAGAGCCGGCACTAGATAATTGACAACAACCATATTTCGATCCTTCTTTTGTTGTCTGAAAAAGCTCTTTGAAGTTGGGGCCTGCAGTAGACTCCTAGGAAGCCGTTCTATTTAACAACTGAAGATGGCTCATGCACAATGTTTACCGATCCGTTGGCTTTCATCGCGTAATCGTAGCATAATACTTTCGTCGCGCACTTAAGGATTAGAGATGCTGTGTGATCATTGGAAACATCTTGATTTGAATCTGCTTACAACGCAGCGCCGCGCGCCGAGGCGGACCCATTTCCCAGGAACCCGTGCATTTCATCCTGAGATTTCAACAAGGTACCTTAAAAGTATGCAAGGACTGGGGTGCGGATCTAGCAAGCAGCTTCGAGTTCGAGGTACTCTACTCGTTCTAAAAGAATCAGAATGAGCAGCGCACTGTTCTTCTTTACATCTCATCATGGCAAAGATCGCTGAGGCCAATTGAACGCAGCCGTGCGAGAAAGTGCAAGTCCGCACGCACGCTGTCCTGGATGTTTGGTCCTTCGAGGTGAGTGGAAGAATGAAGAATTGCCCTATAACATATTCATCCGGCCAAATCTGGTGCCGAGACTTGCCCATTGGGTCTTTCCACTCGAGCAGGCCCCCAGAGACCATGATCCTCTTTATGGCTTCTTGCTATACAGTAGAGCCGAATTCATTGGCACTCTCTTACACGTATTTGACGGCCTGACTCCGCTGTTGAACACAAGCGCTGGGTGTTATGGTATAGAGCTATTCGGCGTTGCGCTTAATCGATGGCACGATATCTGTGTCCGAGACCAAGGATCATTGACATGCAGATGACACTTTTCGGGACGCCTCGCTATGCTCAACAACCCATATTTACAAACGCTGATGCTTTTTAAATTCCATCGAGTTCATGACCCATTGCCACATTATCAGTCATCGCTGAAGGTCTTCTCCCCAAGGTCCACCTTTCCCACACTCCATATCTCTCTTTCATCTTCTCGTTCGTCATTAGACAGTCCCAGTCCACCTTGACCACCCTCGGCCTCTTTCCGTTCCCTTGCTTGCGTACCTAGTCTTACTGCCACTCTTTTGAAATAGTCGGTCATACTCCTCTTCGTCGTAGGGTTCATTCCTACCCCAACATCTGCCATATATTTGTCGAACACTGTGGTTTCGCTCTCCACGACCGAAAATATTGATAGGAAAGCAGCCTCGGCAGCTAGCTTGACCGGGATCACTGGATCGCGGACGCTGGCAAATATTGGGGGTGCGAGGACTGGAAGGCTTGGGCTCATGAGATCGTAGTTCGTACGGCTAACTGTACGAATGACAACAAGAGATAGGCGTCGAGTGTCAACTGGGCCTCCGGGTGCAATGGCTGCAGCTAGAGCTTCGATAACAGCTTTGCTTGATTCGAGGTTAGAAACTCTCCTTAGCGTAAGCAGGTACTTTCCTGCGGCGAGGACGCAATTATCGGAGATGAAAGTCTGTAAAACCATTAGCTAGGCTTTTCTGCGGTAGAAATACCGAGGACTCACGTTTTTGCTTCGAATACCATGGCAGACGATATTGGGAGTTTCTGAAGGGAAGTCCTCAGTCAGTGTGGCGGGCGATTCAAGAAGTACCGAGTTGAGATTCAACGCTGTGGCATTGCTCATGTGAATACTCAGCACACGCGTCTTGATTAGACTAGAGGCGTCGAATGTCACTGGAAGGCTCTTGACAAGAGCTCCAAATAGCCTTGCATGGGTGATGATCATCGAATCATCAGCGTGGCTTGTATCACCATCGATGAGTCCCAGGATCGAACTGCGGGAAGCCTCGCTCATAATGGCTCCGGCTTTGCTGACGACCTCATACAACGCTTTGAGCATCGCATTCTGTACGCCTGGGTCTTGTGTCTTAGAGCCAGTCACTAGCTCTGCGATCAACGGATCGATGCGAGGTGTCATTGTGATAAGGGTTCCGAGTGCTTTTGCCGCTCTCGATCTGAGCACCTCGCTGGAGGTATCAGCCAAAGATTTGGCGAAAGTGCGTTGAAGCTGTGGCAAGAAGGGCTTCAAGAAAGTCGGAATCTTCTCCAAGAGATTGTTCAATGTTAGCAAAATAGCAGCTTTGACATCAACCGAGCGCTCCGAAACCACCCTAATAAGCGGTCCTGTTATCTGCGTGACAAATGGCTTGAGCGAGTCAGCGTTTGTACGATCGATTATATCCGAGATAGCCAAGGCTGCGTGGGTACGCTGGTCGGCGGTACCATTCATGAGACCCTGTAAGAAGATTGGAAGGATCGCATTGATGCCTTTTGGCAGCAAGAAGCCAGGTAAATTATGACCAGGCACTCCCACTTGTTGTAGAATTTGGTGTGTTGAGAAAACCAGAGCCTCCATCTCTTCCTTTTTGAGGCGCTTTGTAAGCTCTGAAAGGGCAAGCCAAGCCGCCTTGATAACCTCTGTGTCTGAGTCGTCGAAAGATATGAGCAGGACGCGGATGAGATCTTGGTGGTAGCGGGAGAAATCGATGTCAGACTTGGCAAAGAAGTTGCTCAGTCGGACATTGACGCTTGCACGTTTGCGGTGATCATTGTTCTTGGCCAATGCAAGCAGCACGCTCATTGCAGTATTCAGCCCGTCGTATTCATCCATCGATATTAAGATAGAATCGAATGAATCTCCGAGCTCAGATCGTAGTGCATCGTCCTTGCAGACGATAATGTTATCCATTAGAGCATTTAGGATAGCAGGTAATCTTCTTGTCATGGCTGACCCGGCAACTTCCGAAAGGGAAGCTATTGCCTTTGCATTAAATGAAGAGATCGGCGAGACCAGTAGCGTTGGTACTAGATTTGGTAGAATTATATTTGATCGGGTGTTATCCGTGAGCAGAGTCAACAATGCGGAGAGGGCAGTGTCGGCCTCGCCCTCTGTGCGGAGCAGATTCAGGAGGTATGGTAGGACCTGGTCGACAGCCCTCTTTCCAAGTATCCTTTGCAACGAATCGAATGCTTCTGCGGCTGCTTCTCGCACCTCATTGTCAGAATCCACAAGCGCAACGCGCACCACAGATATCAGAGTCTTCTCATACTCTTCAAGCGCTTCTTCGGAAGCAGAAGAGATGATTTCCTTGAGTGCTATGCAGATTCCTTGCTTGCTGTCCGTATCGTTGGATGTTTGGAGGCCTTCCTCGAGCGTAGGAAGTAAACTTGCTAAGACCCCCTCTCCGGCCTTTCTGATAAGTTCACCTAAAGCGTTGCCGGCAATGACCTTCTGCTCCATATTTGAACTTGCAAGACGTCGGATGAGGAGTGGCGTAAGTGTTGGAATAAGCTCCTTGAGAGTCCGAGGAGTTGCAACAAGGGCCTTCCAGACGTTGATAGCAGCAGTTCGAACCAGACCTGAAGTGTCGCAGCGGCAAATGTAGAGAGATGAGAGGATCTTGTTCCGCTTGTCTTCCCCAAGGACTTCAAGCAGAGACTGCCCAGCTTCTGCAGCACCTTCCTCTTCTTCATCTTGTTCCGTCTTGCCAGTTATGCCGGTCAAATTGAAGAGGAGGTCACCGACTAATTCAACGGAACTCAGGCGTATGCGATAACTATCGTCTGCAAGCCCTCGATCAAGCTCAGGGAGGAGGAGGTCAATAGCTTTGGTGGCAAAGTTCTTGACGAGCAGTCTGCCTGCTCTAAGGGATGTCTCTCTGATCGATTCAATTTCATCTGCCAAGCCGGACAGGATGGGAGGAATGATCTTGCTCAAGTAAGAAGCAAAGCTGTTCCCGAAGCAAGCTGGCAAGTAGATGAATAAGGACATGAAGCCTTCCCGTACTGTAGGTTTTGCGCTGGCAACATTTTGGAGGATTGTTGGTAAGGTCTCTTCGAGTCGCCCTGTGCCAAGACCAGCAAGAACTTCACTTAGTGCTTGAGCGGAGCCCAATCTGTCTCCAGCACCTGTGTCAGACTTCAACGTAGACATAAGACTGGGGATCAAGTCGGGTAGCGAATCTTCGCCAAGTTTCTCCACTAAAGACCCTAGCGCTTTGGAAGCGGTGGCGCGCGTAGCGGGGACTGGATCAACTACTGCGAGCTTCAAGCCAGCGACAAGAATGGGAAGGTGGGGCGTGACATCCTTTCGCTCAGTCAAATGTGCTAAGCTCCCAATGATTTGTGCTGACTTTCGCTTAGTAGCGGATCTGTCTCCCAGACCCCTTTCGAGTATACGAACAATAAGAGCCAAAGAGGGCGAGTCGAGGTAATGTATGAATGAGACCTTGATGAGGGCGTCTAGTGCTTCGTCGGTATGCTTGGTAGGATCACTTAACGCCTTGAGCAGGATGTTGACCAGTCCCTTGACTTCTGGATTACTAATGACCTCGCCGAACCGTTGTAGACTCCTATTGGCCGACAACCTGACTTCCTTGTGGCTGTCACTCAAAACGCCAGTCAAAGGTGGTATAATCTCTGGGAGACTCAGGGCCAATTGTTGCGGATCGAGATACGCCATGGCGCCTAGCAAGTCACAGGCACCTTTCTTGCTTCTCCATTGCGACTCTTCAAGTCCTTCCAGTAGCGTTGGGAGAACGATTTTGACTCCATACGAGCTGAGATTCGCAAAGCAGGTTTTCGAGGTATCCAAACAGGCTTCACGTACATCAGCAGTGGTGTCGCCAAAACTGGCGAGTAGCTGTGGGACGATCTGAATGATGTATGGTTCGAAAGTCCGGCCAAGGACCAAAGCCAGAAGCTCATACGCGAACAGTGCGCCTTGTCGATGGTTCTGGTCCTTCTTGTTGTCGATGGCAACATTAAGCGTAGACATGATCCGAAATTCGCGTAGAGAAGAGACCCCTTTGCCTTTCACTATCCCTGCAAGACCGTATGCACCACCCCTCCGTGCAGCGTATTTCTTGGACTGTAATAACTGGTCTAGCGCAGACTGGATGTATTCCGAGGTTTTGTGGTTAGATGTTTGCACCAATGCCGGAAGACAGCCAGCAACAGCATACTGAACGGTCTCTGATGGTGTCTTGAGTGTGGTAAGAAGCCGTTGCACAACTTTGGGTACTCGATCGTCACCATTCCGAAGATGGCGAGCAAGCGCACCGTACAGGATGACCACAGCCTCACTCACGAGGTCAGACGAGTCAGGATTTGCATCAGATTCATCGAGGGCTAGTTCGAATTTTCGCATGAGCTCTTCTACTTGAGCAGCTCCATGTAATCCAATTATTGTTGTCGCTGCCTCGATCATCTCGTCCCTTACCGTCGCATTTTGGTCGCCAACCGCGCGATCCTGGATCAAGAAATCGACAAACGGAACCAAATTGACAAAATTTGGGGCCAACGCCCTGAATGAGAGCGCAATACCACTCCGGTTCTCCCATGGATCAGAAAGATTGCTCTTCTTTGGCATTCCGAATGCATCCCGTTCTGGTAATGGCGGTTTAGCCAATTCGCGATATTGGTCCTCCAGCTGGTCTACAACTCGACCAAATGTGCTGTGGTCCTGGCCAACAGCCCCTGCCAATGCTCGTGATGCGGCGCGTCGTTGCTGTTGATCCTGACTAGCGAGATAAGGTACCATTTTGAACACGTGTTCTGGTTCCGCTTCTAGTCCATTCTCTTGCCAGATAAGGTGGCCAAGCTCGACATTTTCATCCAAATCATCGTGGCATGCCAACCAGATCTCGTCATAGTAGTCAGCTTCAGTCAGATCGATATGATCTCTAATGGCTTGTAAGACCGCAGTTCTGACTGAGATTTGGGGCACTACACCCCCTTTTAGCAGGATTGCGACATCTTCTGGGGTGGCGTTCTCTGAAACCGCTCGGCATACATCCGATAAAGTGTCTTTGATGATTTTGTAATGTTGTGAGAACCGCTGCATTGACTGGATTAAAAGACTCAGAAGTTGGTCACGCGGAAGCTGCCTGTCTGTGACTGTTTTTACAGTCAGTGTGTAATTCAGCCCCAGCGAAAGTAGAACACAGTTTGTCAGGAGCGAGGAGTTAGGAAACCCAACAACAGGCAAAGATCGAAACTTACACGCATCTGCATGGAACGACAGGATTTCCAATGCTAGTGTGATCTGTTCATCGGCTTCATCCCATGCTGTGCGAGCAATGCCGCTCTGTTGGAGTACAGCAAAGATCAATGGCAACACGTAGACCAGAGACATGCTGTCAAAGGGGCGTTGCTCGCTCGCAAAGCGAAGGCGGTACAGCAACCTGGTAACAAGATCTCCTAAAGGTTCTACCACAAGCTCCTTCGGAAGGGTAGACGATCCTAGTGCTCGAAGCGTTGCAATCCCGATGAATGGCCTCAGAGACCCAAGTCTGGAGGACACGAAGCGAGAGCACTCCAGATAAGTCTCGTCTGCAGCGGGGCCTACTAGACGACCTGCGCCAGCAGCGATGACATTGACTAAAGCTTGCAAAGCTTGGCTCAACCACAGTCCCGGGTCAATTGGCGGCCCAATGGCAAGTGCGCGTACAATCCCAATTCCATTCCGAAGTCTTGACTCCAATTTATGTACATCTGTTCTTATGGCAGCCTCTTTCGTTAGTTGAGCCTGGACTTTGGCCTTCTCTTCTGGCGTGAGCTTGCGGTCTTGGCCTCTTTTCTGTGCAACTTGACTTCGTATTTCGTCCTCCCATTTCATTGTATCGTAGTCTTTTATGTTTTTGTCGAAAGCATAGCTTTGGGCTTTGGGGCTAAGAACGTCCACAAAAGCGGTCCCTTCCCGTGTTCGAGCTATTGCAATCTCTGTCGGACCACACTGTTCCAGCTCGTCGGTGGGTAGGTAGCCATTGATTATGCCAATAAGAGCTGGAGTGATTGTTTCAGGAGCCACGAATGCCAATTCGGCAGCAGTGTTGTAGGCTGCTAGCTTAACCGTGGGAGAGGGTGCAGGACCTCCAATAGGTGTCAAACAGCGGTCAACCATTTGCAAGCATTTCGTGGCTTCGGTGCGGGCAATGGTGCCTGGATCCTGGCCCACTCTCAAGCACGTGTCAATCCAATGTACTTGCGGCAGTATCTCTGGACGACAAAGGACAAGCATATTGATAAGTTGAGTCTTCATTGAATCATAATCTTGCAGCTTTGTATCTTTCTTCAGGGGGCAAATAGACCGTACTGCTAGGAATAACAGGGAAGTGCCGTTCTTTGCTAAAACCGCCGCGTTATCCTTCTCTGATAGCTCCGTTTGCCGTTGCCAGCTCCAAAGCCCCTGAATTACCATCTGCGAGATCAATCTACTCCGTTGTGACCAGACATCGGTCAGGGCAGTCATTGCTTCGTTCCTCGCAGTAGGAATGCCAGCTGCCGCGATGAGATACAGAAAAGTCTGTGTCCAGGCATCCTTTGTATCCGCAGGTACCTTTTCAAGTTCATTCGAGCAAGCCACCAAAGCGCGAATTACCCACGAAAGATCTTCGTGGCTTGACAGCTTTGTATACACTCGTTGGTTGAGGAGGAAAGATGCTTGAGAAAGAGCCCGGTCGTAGACCTTAGCTTTGCGTAATGAGTTCCTGATGGCCTCACTCCCAATGATTCGTAACATGATTGGGCATAAGGCGGTAGTTGTGAAAGCAGCTACGGCCAGTGGCCCTGCGACAATAGGGCTTTGCGCGACCTCATCGAAGATCTGCAACAGCTTCGGGGCTATACTCTCCACAAAGTAGACAACGGTTGGGGGGACTTTGAGGGCCTGTTCTGATGCGTGAAGGCTACCGCCCGCTACCTTCCATAAAACATCCCCAGCACTTAAGGTCCAAATCTTCCTGACACCTGGCTTCTTGTCACTCAAGCCCTTAGTAAAGGCATCCTCTACGTCCTTTGCGTGTTCTCTCTTGAAACTATCCGATGAAGAATGTAGGACCATCTGAGCATATTGAGTCGTCAAGGCAGCAACCTCGGCAGCCAAGGCGGTCTCATTAGGTTCTTTGCCTGCTGACTTAGCAATGGTTCGGCAGATCGACTCTGATTTTGATGAAACGTATGGTATTTGAGCCAGCATACGCGCTTGCACTAGACGTTGCTCCACCACAGTAACCTTAGAGAATGATGCCGATAGGTCATCTGCGATCTTCTCCGAGAAAAATCTCTTGTTGAGCACGACTCATGAGGGCTGCAAACGCTGAAGAAGCTCCGTCACGGACTGCTGCAGTTTGAGACTTGGTGTTGGCTAGCAACGGTTTGAGCAAATGGTCCGCTATGATCTCGGCCAAGTCCACCTCAGGAGGCAAAGAACGGGCCATGGGTGGTACCAGACCTTGCACGACTTCCGGCGCTCTCAGAAGGGCTTTCTCGAGTGTAGGTATAATTTCCTTGCGTAGTTCCGCAGCTGTGGTAAAATTCTCGAAGAAGTCGTTCAAGGCACAGGCAATTTGTGACGGTACAGCTGTTCTAGATCCAAGGATCTCCCGTACGTAGAAAGCATAGTATTGGTCTTTGCCCAGGATAGGCTTGCTCTTGCGTGCACATACTCCAGCTATAACGCCTAACAGGACCGCTGTCCGGCTCCCAAGTGGTTGGTCTTTGGCTGTAAGTTGCCTGACAATCGCAGAGATCTTGGCTTCATCCCCAAGGAGATTTCGGACGGCACGCCTTGCAACCACGATAGCAGAGCGTTTGACAGTTTCCTTGCCTGAAGAGAGGCACACCTCCAATACCCTGGCGAATGACAGACATAGTTGTGGATCGGACTTTTCCCATGCTCTTGACAATATTATGGATCCCCACTCTACTAAAACAAAGGCGTTAGAGGCAGCTAGCCCAGGCTTTGCCGTTTCTCTGCGATACCAATCTATAATTGCTGGAAGAGTAGAGGAATAATCGCTATTGTCGAGGAAAGCTTGGAGACATGATTGAACCGCACGGCGCGAAATGCGATCATTATAGTAGGGATAGGTCAGGAAAAGGATGTCGACGGCCTCAGCACAGGAGTGCTGCAATAGTTCTGTGAACTGTCAGCTACCTCAGCGAATGTTCTTTCACGGCTCTTACCTGACTGTACAATCTGTTGATGGAGGTTTGCCAGCCCATTCCCACGCTTTTTCGTGGAACTTGAGAGCAGTGCATCACGTAGGTGGCTGAGGCTGGTACTCTTGCTATCTTGACTTGCGTCTCCCATGACTTCGAGGACGCGAATCCATGAGCGAGTCGAAGGATCAATGTAATTACGTTTTTAACGGTATCACTTCAGCACAAAAAATATCCGATATATTATGGGTAGGACAAAATGCCAAGCATATGGGGGTCGAGAGGGCAAATATCTGAACTCAAGTCTCCGAGTACTATCAACAGCGGGAGGAGAGTCCAGCCATTCAGAATTCACTTCCAGTCTTCCACAGTATCACTATCCACGACTACGCCTTAAGGCTAGTTGAATGGCGCCCAACAAGAAGAAAAAGAAGCCTGCGAGCAATCCAGCGCGTGGGTTTGCTACAACATCCACAGCTTCAAAGTCGAAATACGATGAACCTAAGGAGATCGAAGGCGGTGTGCGGCTGGGTATCGTAGATGCGAATGCCCCTTCTACAGCTGCTGAAGACGGCATGCGAGCGGAGTATTCTTCAAGTAGAGAGCCCGAGAAGGCGCTATACGAGCTAACCCCCGAGGAGCTTGAGTCACAGCTCGAAGATTCTGGTCTTCAGCTTCTCGTCGAAAGTCACGGAGAGAAGACGAAGAAGGATATCTCTAGACAGTATTCAAGACTTCAGACAGAGAAACGTTTGCTGCGTTCACAAGCAGAGCACCTCGGCATTCGTCAATGGCTACCTCCAGAGATAATGCAAATTATCACAGACTTACTGCAAGCACAAGAAGACAACAACGGACATCTATCTGCAAATCTTGACAGTAACAAAGCAACTATGGGTCTCTCCGAGGACGACCTGCTGATCAAGTTATGGGCATTGAAAAGACTCCTTCCACTGCTGGGTTTTCCTGAGCAAAGGACGGATCTGGCGCTTTGCCACTTACTAACAACGATGAATAAATCAGGCTCACAGAGTCTATCTTCAGGCAAAGAGTCAATTTGGGGCCTCGACGAATGCCTTGCTTGGTTGGCTTTGGATTCCGAGCCGGCAGATTTACCCAGGTTTGACGCTCGCGAAGGGCAGTCCCATTATTCAAATGACCAACAACGGTCCGGAGTAATGACTAATACACCGGCAACTACCCCTACAGACTCGAGGCCTGAATCCCCTCTCAGCAAAGAATATCCTTCGCAGCAATCTCGAACTCCTGATGAAGATAGCTCTGTCTCTTCTGCAAGCGACTCAGACAGTGATGTAGAGCCAGAACATCTGGTGACAAAGTATCTACAGTTACAATCGCGCTTACATGAGATCAGCCCTGAATTGACTGAGATTGATGCCAGACGGCAGCGGCGGGGCAAGGGTAAGCAGTCCGTCGTTAATGGCAATACGGACTCTGCAAGTAAGCGGAGAACCGAGCGTCTCACGGCTAAGATCCACAAGATCAGGTCGGATCTCTTGTTCGACGAGGACAAAGCCAATAGCAAATGGGCAGAGATCCATATCGACCTTATGCAAGAGGCTGCGGAGCGCAAAAGGCTTGGTATAAGGAATGACGCAGAGCAACAGAAAGTTATGCCAACTGTACAAAGCAATGCAAAACTTGCAGAATCCAAGGATGGCGATGATGACACGGATGGCATGCTTGGCGGGTTCTTTACCAGCCTTCCAGACACGGCAACGGACCCAGCGACTGGTTTGAGCATTATGAGTACTGTAACTCAAGAAGGCGATAACGTGGAAATCAGAGACTTTGGAAAATGGACTGGCATGAGCCCTCGTAGGGTCTTAGAGGAAGCATGCAAAGCACGGTGGGACTTCCACATTGTATCGCTGACAGTGTTTGCTGACGTTAGACAGAGATTCTGCCTCCCAAGTCACCTACAAGCCGATATCTGCAACCTCCTTTTCGAATCGACATCTCGTCGAGGTGAGATGGTCGCGAATGCAAGATCCCACGATTGCAATGTCTATTGAAAAACTCATCTGCCAAAGCGATGCTCGTTCCGTAAAGATTGAGATGGTGGCGGTTTCTTGCCCGACTGGGGCCCAATCAGAGGCATATATCTCAACTGTCGCCATGTTCCTGGTATTTGCTTCGTCTCAAAAAGAGGAAAAGGTGCATCTGCGCTTGCCATCAACCTGGAGAGACCTCTGGAAAGAGTTATCTCAGTTGAAGAAAGACCAAGACGAAGCAGCCGATCGCCAGGTCTTACGCGAGCTCCGCAGTATGATAGCTGAGCACGGCCAGGCGGATAAGAATTTGGACGAACAGAGTAACGGCATTTCATTAAAGACTCTCAACAAGGAGCCCAAAGCTGCGGACTGGCGTCAGATGCAAGGAGACAGCTTCTCACCTCCCGCAGTCCGATCTGACGACATCAAAGCATTATGGGCATCGAAGCTATCCACATCTTCTTACCAGCACATGCTCACCTCTCGCATGAGCTTGCCAATATGGAATTTCAAAGATGACCTTATGGATGCCATAAGAGATAATCAAGTGGTGATCATATGTGGTGAGACAGGCTGCGGAAAAAGTACGCAGGTGCCAGCTTTCATACTAGAGCATGAGCTTTTAGGCGGGCGTCCCTGCAAAGTCTACTGCACCGAGCCTCGACGAATCTCTGCCATTTCTTTGGCACGACGTGTGAGCGAAGAGCTTGGAGAACGGAAGGGCGATGTCGGCACCTTTCGATCGCTTGTTGGGTTTGCTATAAGACTGGAAAGCAAATTCAACCCGCAGACGAGGCTTGTGTATGCGACTACTGGGATTGTGATGCGTATGCTGGAGAGGTCAGATGACCTCGGAGACATCACACATCTTGTTCTTGACGAAGTGCACGAGAGGAGCATCGACAGCGACTTCCTCTTGATAGTCCTTCGGAAGCTGCTGGAGAGGCGATCAGACCTCAAGGTCGTTCTCATGTCAGCTACCGTCAATGCAGAGCGTTTCTCGGATTATCTGGGCGGAGCACCCATTATGAACGTGCCTGGGCGCACCTTCCCCGTCGACACGAAATATTTAGAGGATGCAGTGGAAGTCACGAACTTCAACGCCGACTCGGGATCTCATGGTGGTGCTGAGGCTGTGGAAATCGATGACGACGACGCAGCGAAAGTTCCATCCCAGATTGCTGATCTCCAAGGATACAGCCCAAAGACTCTAAGCACATTGGCAAAACTCGACGAATATCGCGTCAGCTACAGTCTCATAGTCCGGCTTCTTGAAACGATCGCTACCTCTGAGTTTTACTTCCCTTACAGCAAGGCGATCTTAGTATTCCTGCCTGGCATGGCAGAAATCAGGCGACTTAACGACATGCTCGCCGGCCACCGCACATTCACAACTGGATGGTACATCTACGCTTTACACTCTACGATTGCTACAGATGAGCAGGAACGAGCCTTTCTCGTCCCTCCACCAGGAGTTCGCAAGATCGTTCTCGCTACGAATATCGCAGAAACTGGTATCACCATTCCTGATGTTACTTGCGTGATTGACACAGGGAAGCATAAGGAGATGAGGTATATTAGTCTCTGACCAACGTTTACTCGACGCTGACGGTGATCAAGATTTGATGAGCGGCGGCAGCTTTCCAGATTGATTGAAGCATTCATCTCCCGAGCTAACGCAAAACAACGACGTGGACGAGCAGGTCGGGTCCAGAAAGGCCTTTGCTTTCATCTCTTCACCAAGAATCGCCATGACAACATCGTAAGTGGAGTCTCAACATCCACAGCGCTATTCTGACATTTGAGCAGATGCCTGGAGAACAAACCCCTGAAATGCTTAGGCTTTCCCTACAAGACCTAGTTTTACGCGTCAAGATCTGCAAGCTTGGCGGCATTGAACAGACACTCTCAGAAGCCCTCGATCCTCCCTCCTTGAAGAACATCAGACGCGCGATAGATTCTCTTGTCGATGTCAAAGCCCTTACAGCTGCAGAAGATCTGACGCCTCTGGGGCGGCAGCTTGCAAGACTGCCGCTCGATGTGTTTCTGGGCAAGCTGCTCTTACTTGGTACCATTTTCGGATGCCTCGATGCAATGCTCACCATAGCTGCCATCCTTTCCTCCAAGTCACCTTTCTCAGTACCTATGGGTACTATATCGCAAGCAGATACGGCACGGCAAGCTTTCAAGAAGGGGGACTCTGATCTTCTTACAGTCTACAACACTTACTGCGCATGGCGACGAGTGTGCGGCGGCTCGACCGCAATGTCCGAACAACAATTCTGCCAGAGGAACTTTCTGAGTCAGCAGACATTATCCAATATTGAAGATACGAAGTCGCAGCTTACTGCCTCTTTGGTGGACGCTGGATTCGTAATCCTGAACGAGGCTGAGAAAGGATGCCTCAACAAGGTCCGATATTGGTCCAGGCTCCGAAGCTTCGTCGAACTACCTGATCGCTACAGCAGCAATAACAAGAACGACCTCATTCTCAACTCCGTCATCGCTTGGAGCTTCTACCCCAAGCTCCTCAGACGAGAAGGCAAAGGTTGGAAGAACATCGCGAACAACCAGACGGTCAGCTTGCATCCCACGTCCGTCAACAAAGGTGCCGAGCGCCCGCCGCAATGGCTGTCATTCTACCACATCATGCAATCGAGCAACAAGTTCTACAACGCCCATGAGACGAGTCCAGTAGAGAGTTTTGCGGTTGCTCTCGTCTGCGGTGAAGCGGAGTTCAAGATGTACTCGGGGGTGATAGTGGTGGATGGCAATCGGATTCGCTTTGCCCTGGATGAGTGGAAGACGTTCTTGGCCCTCAAAGTTTTGCGTGGTCAGATCAGGCAGATAATGACACAGGCGTTTCGCAGTCCTGGACGTGGGTTGTCGGCGCAGCAGCAGGCGTGGCTAGATGTGTGGCAAAAGATCTTCTCGGATTCTAAAGTAAGGGCTTGATATTAAGCTCATATCTACCAGTTCTCGTGTTATATACTTAGCGTGTCCGGGGCAAGAAGTCACTCCGTTTTCTAATTTGTCGGACCTTGGACAAGTGACGGCTCTCAAGAGCCAATGATGTTCACCTCCAGCCGCTCAAAGTTGCTAAGTCAGTACTGCTGATCTTTTAGCATCCTGAATTTCCCTACAACTTCTGCGATAAATCTAGGAAATCTACTCTTCTAGCAAACCATACTAATTGAATGTACTGACATGTCAGCCTCGCTTCTTTCGCCCTTCGAATGCCTACTCGCTGGCGTAAAGCAGCCAATCTCAGTGAACATCCGGTTGTACCACCCGGCCTACTCCCCCGCCTTTCCTACCACCTACCTTCACTCCTTCCTTCCTCTAGTGTCCAAGCTCTCTTTACGACGCGTATCCCCAATAACGAAAGCCTGGGTCGACTCTGCGGATCCTTCGGTCTTCTCAAACCTCAGTCTCCTTTTTCCCCTCAACATCTTCTCGACCGAAGAACTGTCAGCCCTCCACAACATCTCCCCACAATGTGAACACCTCACCGTCACCGTGGCGCAATATACTCCGGTACCCAGACGTAACGACGTTACCCCCCTGCCATCTTTCCCCCGCTTGGAACACCTCGACCTCACCGCCCCGGATGATGACCCTTTTCAGGGTCTCCTCTCCTTCCGCCTCGCGCTCCAATGTGCACACATACCGCTCCTCACCCGCCTCACAATCAACAACCTCTCTTTCTCCGGCATCCAAGCCCTCCGCTGGGGCAGCTTCACCTCCTTCGGCGATGCCGGCTGGACGGGCAAGAACGTGTGGCACGGGTTGAAAGAGCTCGATGTCAAAGTCGTGCGCCGGCACGACGACAAGACGCATGAGAAAGAGCACCACTTCAACCACGAAGCAGCACAGTGGGACACGGAGCCCGTCAAGGCCCGAAGACGCGTCGAAGAAGATTGGCGCACCTGCACCCGGGTGCTGCACGATTGGCTCCACTCCTTCGCCGCTGACGGACAGCTGCACACGTTCAGGTTCGAATGGGTCGACGGCGAAGGACCGAATCCTTTCCTCCTGGATGAATATGCCTCCGTTGAGGGGAAGAAGGAGTGGTTCAGCGCGCCTCGCATTCGCTGGACTGGGCTCAGAGAGCTGTGGCTTGGGAACATGATCGTTTCGTTGATGGATGTACGGCTGATGAAGGAGAGAATGCGCGGGTTGGAAAGGCTCGTGGTGCGGTCTGAATGTCTGAATCACGGCCTTGAGGGCATAACATTTGCCGCGGATGGGAAGATGTGGGTCGAACTCCTCGTGGAAGGTCACCGCATGGGATTGTGGTCGGAAGTGAAGCACGGTCTCTCGTCGGCAGGAGCGAGGGGGGTTGTTACAGGGAGAGTCTGTTGTCCGAGGATAGAGCGTCGATGGTGCTGCCTTTCATGCTGGATGTTTCGCCGGAAGATGAGACGTGTTTGGGATTAGCTAGCTCTTCTGCTTCCACACCCGTCTAGCGGTGTTCTGTCGGCCAGCTACAACTATCTTGCGGAAAACCAACCTCACTGAGTATTATGGAGGTACCTTAGTACTTGTATATCCATGCTACTTGCTCATGACTCGAAACACGCCCCCACCTACTCAGCCCATGACTCGGACAGTGCTAACTTTTTCACCGCTTCTCAACGTCCACTCTACGTATATTGATATTTACGCGCACCGAGTGTTATCCTGACCTGGAGACCCTTCGTCTGAGTGGGATGGGAAATATTGGATACGTAAGGACCATAGATATGTATGAATAGGACTTTCATAGCGAAGGGCCTCACTCCTTTGCGGACACGAATTCATTGGAAAGAATTGCATTGATTGAGTAAAATTTGCGCTATGGAATTTATAGTACACTATCCTGAAGAGCGGATTCGCTCGACGATGGGGTATTGAATTGGATTTTGACGATAATGAAGCCTAATTGGGGAAAACGTAACCACTCATGCGTCAAGGTCTGGCAGAAGTTATATTAACCTCGAGATGGGGACAATCTAGCCAGGACCTGCACAAGAAAGTAATCGATCCAATGGCTGCGAACCGATAAGTAATTATGCTGGTGTGTATGATGGGGTATTAATGGAGGCTGAAGTGCCTGTATCCGAAGGTAAAAGATCGGCGAGGAATCGAAATTGCTGTCGTATGTGCGGAGAAGAATCAGTATTACTGCTTGCCGTCAAGGGCCCGAGAGAGGACTAGTTGTGGCGGCTGTGCTTGAGAGGGGATTCATCGGACTCATCGCCACGCTTTGTCTTAGAGATGCGCCATTCATGTGGCATCAGAAGACGACCAGTGACAGCATCTCGTGGTCGGATTCCGCCGATGGGACTGCCATCGTCATTGTCTGATGGGTCATGTGAATGTCCAAAAGCGTTATCTGTGTCCCACATGTCAGGCTCGTAAGGGTTGGAAGTCATACGAATAGCCTTCCGGTGTGTGCTTGGCTGAGTTCTGGATGCTTGAGCTGAGTGATCGATCCAGTCGCCGTCATCTGAGACGCGGTCCATGGCTTTAAGACCTGACAAGCGCTTGGATGGACGACTGTCGTTCTCACGCTCTTGAGAGGTACTAGCTTCTGAGGTTTGGCATGGCGAAAGGGAAGCGGAGGGACATTCGAGACCTGAGCGACGACGGTGGCCACTTCGTGGGCTGCTCAATGTGTTGGAGAAGACGAATTTCAGATCGAAGTCGTCGGGCTGCCCGGCAGCACAGCTGCGAGTGCAGTGCTGATATATGTTCTCTCGATGGAACACCTTGCAGCGGTCACTGGCGTACAGAATCTCTTCTGTGATGTTCGGTCCAGAAGTATATGCTTGATGGTATGCATACGGGAAGGTTATCACCATCTCGCCCTGGTGCTGGACCACTTCTGTACAGTTGACGTCATAGAATGACAGGGTCGCATGTGGCACGTACATTGGCTGGTGTGCAACAAATTGGCTGCACGTCGGAGGCTTTGGAGGTCGACCGAGTAGATTTCCACTGTCCTGTGTGATGTGCACGAATTCTTCAAGCTTTGCATGGTGCTCTGGTAGGGTCACTGTCAAGATTCTGGGAGCACCAGAGTGATGGTAATTGAGCGAGTAAGCGGCATACTTATTCGTCTGCAGCGGAGACAGTGGACCGGGACCATCAGCGATATGGAAGACAGACATGTTGATGCCTGATTGAGTCGATCGAGAAGATGCGAAGCGGTTGCCAAGGAAGTCCTCAATGTTTGGATTTTTGCAGTTCAGAGCAGCTCGCAGAATAGGAGTCGCTATCAAGGAACAGTCAGCAGCTATTCCTTTGTGGAAAGTTCTCATGAGAAGGTAATGGATCAAAGAGAGTGTGTCATACCTGGCTCGTTCAAAGCGCACAACACGGCTACGTCCTGCTCCTCGCTATGCCGAATCATTCTCCTCTCTTCATATGGCTTAAGCACATGATTCTCTTTCCAGACATCATTGCGACTGATAGCTTCTGGGCTAATCGCGCGCTTCTTGATGACCCCATCTTTGTCCCGTTGAATCATATGCAACCATTCATCGGCTCCTAAGGAAGTTGAGTCATCTGTTGTGAGCATATCGTAAATCTTGGAAGGCTCTGCCGTCGCATCTTGATTCAAGCTTATGCTGACTTTCATGGTCTTGATGACAGGCGATTCGGGTAACTCACTTCTTCTTGGAGAGAAGACCGGCGATAGGCTGTGGGAGGGTCAGAGCTAGATTGTTGAAGGATAGAGACCCGCCGAAAGGAGACTTACAGTTCGGAAGGTACGATGACCTTGACAACGCCCATCTTGCGACCGGCTATCTCCTCGACGTCTTTCAAGAAGCGGCCAAAATCCGAGAAAGCAGCCGCTGTCGGGGTGAAGACGTGCAAGCCTTTCTCCATGCGAAAAGCACCTTGGTGGCCTTCCGGAATGTCTGCTGTGGCATGGTATGCCGGCTTTTTGCGACCTTGTGCATCCGTCTCATGCTGTGATGGATGTGGGTTGTATCGAGGCGAGCTCACGAGCTCATGGATTCTCGCTATGCCCAAAATAAAGTCAGCAAGCTAATCTACAGAAGGGGGCTGCGGTGGTAGGCAGGTAAATAGCCAGATCGCTTAACTTTAGCGCCCGGAAGAGAAGAGTACTAGAGTTGACTGACCTTTCTGATTATCCCACGTCAGCCACGCCAACTCGCCTGCCAATTCACCTGCCAAATTCTGATCCCGCAGGCTTCCATCCCTAGATTTCATTCCCTGCCTAAGCATTGTTGGACTTGTTGACATCAGCTGAGGATGGCTCCGACGATTTGTTTTGATATAACTCGACGGATCCTCCTCTTCGTCTGCTTCCTCGTCCTGAAAGTTCACCTCCTTCCTATACTCCTGCTGCCTCTGGTACGAAGATGGCCCAAGGTTGCTACTATCTTCAGCATAAAATGCCTTGGTCCCTTTTTCAGCACCTCTAAGCTCGGCGAGCATGAGCGAACCGAGGTTCAGGTTCTTCCTAGGCGTTGGAGGCTTGTTCTTCACAAAGTCTAAAAGGCTTTTGCGTGCGCTGCGTGTCAAGCGTACCTTAGGCCGATCGTCCTTCAAACCGGAGAGCGTTTCTATTTCAGCCTCGGACTCTGGCTGTGGAGACTGGTTGTGTGCCTCAATCTCGCGGAGCATCAGTGGTTCACGCCGCAGCTTCGATGATGCTGGCTTCGACGAACGCGCAGTCCTGGGCTGGAGGTGTTTTTGCTCAGATTCTGAGTCAGACCCTGGAGCTTCGTTGTAGTCCTCGAGCTCGCGAAGCATCTTCAAAGTGCGCTTTGGCTTTGGCATTGCTGACTGCGAACAACCTGTAGTGAATGACTGGATCGTCTCTGGCGCAGGCTCTGACTCAGGCTCTGGGGACTCGTTGTGTGGCTCAAGTTCACGGAGCATCCTGGATTTGAGCTTTGGCTTTCGTACTGTTGGTTGCGCGGAAAGAGCACCGTTGAGCTGCACATCGATTGACGTCGCAGCATACGAGAGTACTTGAGAAGTACTTGGTACTTGGGAATCTTGCTGGATTTCGCTCACTGCATCTTGGGCAGCGGCGAAATCGGATTCGATGTTTTGCTGGACTTGGCTAAGACTCGGCTTGTGGATGTTCTGTTGGTGGGAACCGTGGTCTATTCGTTGAACCTCGCGATCCAGCTGTACACCAGAGGATGACCAAACTCGTGATTGCTCTCGGTCTAGGTTTGGGAGACGTTCCTGTGGCTGCTGAAGAAGCAAAGGCATACTTCCTGAGCTAGGTCCACCGTGGTGTCCATCTCTGCAACCTTGTAAGCTTCTACTATGTGGGATGCAGAGAAAAGACTTACGAGAGATTCATCGCGTCTTCTCTAAGATTCGAGTCTACTCTCTGGTAGAGAAAACCCCCAATCTCCACAGTTCTGCACATCGTGTCAGTCCATGTAGGCTATCCTTCTTCCAAACACAGCATGGTGTTACCTCGGAATCTCGACATTTCTGGGTGTCAAAGCGCCGGTAAATCTTGGAGAGAAATCACCAATACTTGAAAGATTCACTGCTTCCTGTGGGACAGCTCTGGTGAGCGATGGAGAGGGCAAGAGGCGAAGTTCTCCAGATTCAAGGGTCCTGCGTCTTATCAGTCCATGTGGGTTCTTCCTCTCCCAGAGACGGCACAGTACTACCTTGGGAATTCTGCTGGCTCCAATCTCAAAGGCCTCGCGGACATTGAAAACGAGAATTTATGGTCTGGGAAACCTATTGCGTCGGGTGTGACAGCACTAGTGAAAATCGGAGAGGGAACTTCAGGGCGAGATTCGTCGGGCAGCGGATTCTCGGAAGACTGTTTCGCTCTCCCAAATCCGGTAGGTCGTAGCATGGCTTGGGCTCTGTCAGCGAGATCACCGGTATGGTAATCGACGTAGCCAAGAAGAAGACATGGAAAGAGAGCGACCTACTTGTCCCTGGTCCTCGAATCACTTTCTTCTTCCCTTCTTCTTATAACTCACTGCCGAGGAAGCTCTGTCTGAGATTACCGTTGCTCTTCTGTTCCTGGGACCTGTTGCACGGGATAAAACATAAGAATCTTTGACCTGCAGCAAGCTGTTGGTCGAGAGGGAAGACGAACAGTAGAGGTTAGGTGGTGAAAGACTTGCTGTGATTGATCCTGGATGAGTGTTCGAACTCAGTTGTTCCAAAGTGAATTGACAAGTGAGCTCAGCTTGCTCCCTCAGCTTCACTCCTTCGAGCCCGTCCTCCCGCTGCCAATCCTCAAGGTCCCTCGAAGGGAAGCTGCTGCTTATAGGTAGGGACTGTGGTCAACAAATGGGAGGGACAGTGTAAGACTGCGTGGTGGCGGAATGAGTGGTTCAGAGGGAAGTCCTCCCGTCTTGTGATGTTGAGTGCGCATTTGTTTATGCTTGGCGCGTCTCGCTTAGCAAGATCTTCCATGGTTTTGCCGGCCGGCATGTTCTCTGCACGCTGGTGCATAGTACAAGATTCTTGCATAAGTCTTAGGGAAGTGATGAAACTGATGTCTTGACGTTTTACCGCACTGGTACAGAATCAGTGATATTATTCTACATTGCTTATTTGTCTCTTTTCTTTGCTTTTGCTCTTCTAGAAGCTCATGGCGATCAGTGTAGTCCATCAAGAGAGGTTTCCTTCCTAGCAGCAGAGTTTGCGTCAAGATTTGCCTATGTTCGAGACTTGTTGTAGCATTGAGAATGCCATTACTTGGATTAACCTCGTTTCTCTAGATTCATATCCCTTGTGATTGAACGCAGCTATTCGGAAAAGTGTTGAGCAATCTTGTTTTTCTATCCCCTATGTCTCACGGTCTATACCGCCGCTACTTTCAAAGCCTCTCAGCTTGTGTTAATATCGTTTTCTCAATATCAAATAGCCAAAGGTTTCCCATTCGATTATCCTCGGAGAATTCCTGGCCTCTAGACGTTCTCTAACATGAATGTTCTCACAAATCTCCTGGGCACAGCGTTTTGATACTGCTCAACATGACGTTCTACATCTAGATCTCGAGGGCTCACAGCAGAAGGTCACCGAGCAATTAAGCATTCCCAGTACCATACAGTGAATCCTGTATGCACTAGCCAAACCTCATAATTTCTAACGCTACCAAGTAAAACATCTTCTAGCGGTTAGTTGATTAAGCTACATCATGTTCTCTTTGGATTGACTCCCTTCCCTAAAATTCCCCGTAGATCTATTACCCCTGGCTCAACACTTTCAGTATGCCTGTCGCCGAATCACATCCACTTAGGCCTGCTTCCACGTCTCATTGTCCGGGACTATGCCCTTGCATATGACTGCTCGTTTCCCAAATTCTGCCCTTCCATGTGTACTTTCATGCATCCTCTTTGCCAGACAGTCGAACTCTAATCTTCCACCTTGTACAAGAGTGTTGAGATTTGCTGCTGCACCTATATTATAGCTACCCCTCATAGTGGTAAATAGAGTGGCAAATAGGAGTATAGTAGCCCCTCAGCACTCCCATAGATAATCATCATCCTCTTTCCAACAAAGAGCCTTCACTTCCCACGTAAAACAGAGAAATGTAGCCTGGTCCTCCGTGTGCCGCCATTCTCTCAGCGCCAACAAAGTCTCCCATGTTCCTCAAACCCCCTGTCCCCTAGCGTAGGTCTCAACTTCATAACCTGAGCTCTTATACCCTCAGTTCAAGCCCCATTCTTGGCTTCTCCGTTCGTGTCATCCTTCTCTTCGGCTGCCTCTCCCAGCTTTAGCATCCTTGCCACTTTCATCTGTCCGTCTGTAAACCCTAGTAGCGTGGCAGATTCCCTCTATCACGCACAAGTGTTCCTGACGCTCCAAGCAACGGTGAGTCCTCATTCCCATCTGCTGTGACTTTGGAGCCTCCCACCAGCAATGAGGTTTGAAGGTGGGGTATTGGAGTGAAAGTACTAGGTTCCAAGGATAGCCGTTGTGTCGAGGCTCGGAGTGGGGTCATTTGCAGGCAGATGTGCCGGAGGTGGAGCTTGTAGTAGAAGGAGGATCTGACATAATTTGGAAGGACGTCGGCTCTCGAGAGGTTCTTCGAGGAGGACTACTATGATGGATTATGTTAGTCATGTTTCAGTCTTAGTATAGTGATATAGATCCAGTGAGACGTGAAAAGAGTCGTCTGAATTCACTTCGAGAGGTGCTGGCTTGGACGATTCATACCACTGCGTGTATGAGGCAGGGAAGAAATTTAGGCGTGGATGAAGAAGGTAGGCAATGCATACTCAGGGATCAGTCATGTGCAGTGCATTCCTGCACCTTCGGGTTTCCTTGGAATTTTTTGGTACTTGTTGCCGTGGCTGTTCATTGCCTTAATGTATACATCACTCTGTATACCTAGTGCTCCAGAACAGGGCGTTGTGCCGTTCCCTTTTCTTCATAGCTCAGATGTGAACGAGTCAAAGATCAAGCTGGAGATTTTTGATGCTTACTTTATCTAAAGATACCGATTTTTTTGATGCTTACCTACTTTATCTAAAGAAACTGATCAAGAGAGGGACAGAGTCCATCGATCATGAAGAGTAAATTTGTTTGTAAGTCTGTCTAGAAGATGCTGGTCTCGGATTGACATAATACTGGGAAACATCACGTAAGAGGAAGAAGGAACGTATCGTTCTGTCCACCAGATTCAGAAACCATCGCTTCTCGTCATCACTCTACAACTTGTGGTCCGCTCCGTGAGATTTCCAGTATCCGCAGCTCCATTCCTTATCCATCGCCACGGTCACGCTCGTCGATCTACCATCTCCCATTGGTTGTCCCCGTTGACAGACTGCCTCACGAAGGTCTCTTTCTCCTGCGCTTGATAGAGGTCAACATCGGTAACCTGCAACGCGAGGAAGTCGTAAATAGGGACCGTCGTCCTATGCCGGTATCGCTTGGCAGGCCTGATGTACTGATTTCATGAGGCGGCGTAGCCATGTTGAGTCTCAGATAGGAGGGGAGAAACAAAGATCACACGGTTGGCATTGGTAACAATTATATCAAACCATGTCAGCAAGTGGGAAAGTTTGGAGTAGCTAAGAGTGTAGGGCATGACTTATGCTCCAGCACCTGACGAGTTCGCCCAGTTCAAGACAAGGACCTTCTTCGTAGTTGGGGAACTATTCTGGAAGTCATCTACCATCTTTCTTACCACGCGACCGGAACTTGCCGTCAAACCGTAGTTTGGGATACCCTCAGCGTTTACAGCAGAGCGATGTTGTCTTAGATTGTCGAATTGGCGAACATGAGAACTTGTTCCTCCTCCCTTGAACGAATGAGATCGATGATATTTGCTACTATATCTGGTGTCTTGGGCTGCCTGCTCCAGAAGCTTTCTTGGGCCTGTGTAGCGTGCACTGGCTTGGCATGTGTCTGGAAAGTCGATCACTGAGTTGTATAGATCGTTCGTGTCGTCGTCGGAAACGCTGTCAATGTCTTGGACATCCCCATCTAATCGCATCACGAGCGGGCTACAGATCTTGGTCTATCACTTAATCAGTCATTTCCAGGTCGTTGTCCAACATGTCGTTGATGGCTTGGAGATTGTTGCTAGCAATGGATTTACTTGTCTGATTGGCGGCGGTAACTATGAGTCGTACGTTCTTCGTGAAGACATAAGCGCGAGTTTTGAAAGGCACTCTTCAACTGACTTGCTGCTTCTCATATTCACCTTGATGCGTCTCTATCGTTGATAGTCGTTCTTGTTGAGACTTCCGCGGATAAGCCTTACATCTATAGACCAAAGTAGCTGCTGGAACCCATATTTTCCGCTTCCTGCATCGATCCGAGGAAAAACGAGTTAAATTAGGGACTGCATTTGATTCACCAATCCCCACATTGTTCTATAAAAGTCAGTATCTAGGGTGACTTCTGAGAGATCATGAGGCTCACCTGGCGAACGAATCGGTCTTTCCATTGCTGCGTATGAGCTTGTCTGCCTATATGCCAGACAGCGAAGTGAGAAAAACCAAGCGCGCCAAATTGTTCAGCATCTGTATTACGTTAGGTTAAGGATCGAGGACAGCACAAAGTCAGCTCGGACCAGGGAAGATGAGTGTTCACGGAAAATGTGAAGGCAGAAACTGAAGTGGTTTCATGTACCTACCTTAACAACCGAAAGCGGGATGTGACTTATAAGTGTTAGGCTCGGTCTAAGGAAAAACTCTGGTTTTATACAATACTCCGGGCGCACAGACCAGCAATCACGAATACAAGGATGGCCTCAGGACTCTCTAGAGAGAGCCGTGAGAATGTGTCTGGTCATCAGCGATCGTCCAGGGGAGCATGGACCTCCACGTCACCCGTCTTGAATGACCAATTGTGGTCTTTCCCTATCGAATTGGAGGAGACAGCTGGAGGAGCTCCTCTGCAAAAGAGGCAGCGAGGGCCTGGAATACGCTGTATCCAAGAGCAAGGAAGTCATGGCAATGAGCACGGCTGCGAGCACTCCGATGAACTTCCTACCTGGCCCTGGCCATGCAAGAGCTTTTCTGTCAAGGGGAGTAGGCTCATGCAAACGCCGGACTTGCTTCCTTAGAACCTGCTCTATTCTAGATTAAGGAATTAAGACTTAGCTTTAAAAAATATTATAACCTTCGTAATAAAGGTCGTAAGAGAATCGTATAGAAAGAACTATAGTATACCTTACGTATACTTAAAATTAAGAAGTTTAAGATTCGTATAAAGAAAAAGTATTTTATAAACGATAATATTCGATAATCGTAAGAAGTAGAGTTCTTTTTCTTTATTAATTCTAATTAAATTTGCTTAGCGAGAAAATTTGCCAGCTATTTTATAGTTATTATAAATACTATATTTAATATAAATAAGAATAATCTATCTCTATTAGTACTTATTTATATAATTAATATCTTAAAGACTATTTCGATTAGCTACTATTTTATCGAGTTCGAATTTATTAAGATCTTTTTATTTATAAACGATTATATAAGAGATCTATTTTTTTATAATAACTATAGAGGGTCGGCGATATTACTCGATGATTTTGCTACGAAATTAATAGTAATAATAATTAAAAAAATAACGAATTTACTTATACTATCGAATAATTAGATAAATATAATTATCTAAGTAGATATAGAGATCGCTTAAGAACTTAGTTATTATCTAAATAATCTAAATAGTAACTATTTTCTTTAGCTATATAATTGATATATTATTAAAGTAATTAAGAAGAGATTAACTTATAAGAGATATTCGCTTTATATAAGAAAGCTATTAGTTAATCTAATATAAAAGTAAATTTAATTAGAAACCCTCGAGAATATAAAGCAAAATCGTGGTATTTTACTTAATTAATTATATTAGAAAAAATAGAACTATTTAATTAATTTCTATTAATAATAAAAGTATTAATTTATAATAGTTTATATTAAAAAGTAATTGAATCTAGACTATAGTTTTACTTAACGAGGCGAGAGTAGTTATTCTCTTATTAAAGTCGTTATAAATTATTATATATCTATTAATTAGTCGATAGAAAAGATTGCTAACGAAGTAAATAAGGTTATTTATATTTATAAGTATAAATTAAAGTATTAGAAGAGGAATAACTCTCGTAGTATCGATATTAGTAGATTATTCTTTATAGGCTTATTCGATTATATTATCTATTAGATAATTAAACTCATTTATATAGAGTTAATTACGATAAAAATATTATAAGCGTACTCTACTTAGCTTTTAGCTCTATAACTAGCGAGCCTTAGCGGAGATATTCTCTATTATATTATATCTTCTACCTATATATATAGTTCGATAGCCTTATTATTCTCGTTCTATCTCATCTATACTAGTATCGTATCTATACTAGTTCTAATATTATAATAAGACTCCTTTATACCCCCCTTGACGAAGAAAATTAACGAGTTTTTCACTTTCTACTCGAAGTAAGCGATCGAGTCTAATAAAGAAAACGCTAGGTATTTCTACTATATAGAAGCCTCATTATAAAGATATCTATATTATTCGAAAGTATCTATATTAGATAGTCTACATTATTAATAATAGTCTAATCTATTAAAAAACGAGTCCCCTATATCGAATATAAGAAATTCTTCTTCGCTCCGTTTCTCGTAAAAAGTCTATTATCGGCTTAGAGACCCTCGGCGAACTTTCTACTATTCGAAAGAATATTATTTAGAGTACTTATAGTCTTTATAGCGACTTAATCGATTAAGAACTTCTATAAATCTGAAAAGTAAATTTTTATACGATTTCCGCCGAGTTCGTACTATAAGTACGATTTAGTACGATTTAGTCTATTAAGTAGACTTTATCTATATTTAACTCTTTTCGCTAGTTCTATTAATTTAGCAACTTTAAAAAAATTTTAATAACTTTAAAAATTTTGCGTAATATACTTTAATATACTCTAAGTACTATTCTATATATATATAATATTAATATATATTATTATTAATATATATATTATTATACGCTATATTAAAGTATTATTTACGCGATTAATTTTATTAAATCGTTTAATTTTATAGCCAAATTTGAGTTAACGTTAATACTCGTTATCGTAAAATCTTATCATCGCAACGTCGATTATTAGAACTTTTCTTTTTTCGTACGTATTACTACTAAATTAATAGAACTAATAGAAAAGATTAGAATAGTTACTAAATCGGCGGAATTTAGATAGATTCTAATTAGATTTACTAATTCGACGAATTTTATAATTTCCGCGATAAACGCGCGATTAGCAATTTTAAATTTTGTAAAAACTTTTTAGATTTGCAGATGAAACGAAAGGAATAATACTATTTCGAGCGTTATAGTCAAATTTCGACTCTTAATATAGAGATCTATTATCTTTCTTAACTCGTATACGCTCTTATAATATCGAAGTTCTAGAGATCTCTTAGTTTACTCGATAAAGATATTATTCGATATTTATAATTTCTTAACGAGGAAGTCTAGCCAAAATCGCTATTTTTACGTCTATCTTCTTCGCTCCGTTTTTATCTATATTTAACATATTATAAATTCTTTAAATTTATCTATATTAATATTAAAATATCGCTCTCCACATCGTCGTCATAAGAACGCTTTCTCTTTCTCTAGACTACGATCTCCTATATATCGTAGCCAGCTTTATTCTATATACTATCTTATATACGAAGATCTATATATAAGATATTCGCCTCTAAATTCGCTACGACTTCGTATGTTACGCGTATAGCGCTCTTTATCTACTAAGAATCTTTATTAGCGATATCGTAAGATATTAAGTTATTCGAAGAAGATATAGAACTAAAACTCGACTAACATCTCTATCTTTCTACCCCCGTTCTCACCTTTATTTATATTACGAGATTTCGAAGTACTAAGAGTATATCGATATCGATATTAATTAATCTCGCTATAGCTAGTTAGATAGCTACTTAGCTCGAGACTATTAAATCTATTTATATTTAATAATAATAGATCTAAATTTAAGAATTAGAAAATAAGAATTATAAATAAAATTAGTTTTAATAGAGATTACTATTCTACTTACGCTTTTTAAATAAACTACGTTATATTATATTTTAAAGAAAAAGCTATCGAGTATATAATATCTAGATATCGAATGATTATAAAAAATTCTTATCTCTTAATCGACGATCTTCTAAATTAACTAACTAATCTTTATAAGACTTTAATAAATATTATTCGATAAAGAAATATTTATAATTATTTAATCTTTAGAAGACGTAATAGTTAGTTATTTTTCGAGTATTATATAAAGTTTATAAAATATATCGCGTATATATAGAAGTATAACGATAAAGAATATTAGATTAATATTATTTAGTTAGATCTTATAATCGACTTAAGAGATAGAGTAAACCTTTATCTTCTAGACGAATATACTATATATGAAAGAAAGTAAATATTATTAGATTTAAAGAAATATCTTATTATATTAGAATATCGTAATTTAATATATGCCGAACGGCTAGTAAATAAGAAAGTAAAGGTATTTATTAAATAGTATATTAAGGCGAGACTCGAAGATGTAAGCAAATCGCGTAGTAAATATACTATTATTTCTCGTCTTAATCTAGAGAAATATAGACGATAGGCCGAATCTACTAGATCTGTAAATAATAGATTATATAAACGTATTAAATCTATAAATAATATAATTATAAGAATATAGTAGATATAGTTAAGAACGTAATAGCTCTATAGATATAGTTGAAATTAGTATAAGCATCGATAAATTCTCGAATATTATATTTTTAAACGAATTAAAATCATTCGATATCTTTAAAAAGATCTCATTTTTTTATATTCGTAAATTAATTTCTTAGACTTATATTACTAAATAATTATCTTATATTAAATCTATTAACTAGACTCTTCGTATTATTATATATCTAAACGACTTTCGAAGCTATAGTACGTTATTTATAAATCTTACTATTATCGCTAATAGTCTTAATC